CCGGCAAAGAAGGGGGAACGCTGGGATGAAATGTCATGCGGAGATGTGGAACGGCAGAAGGCGAGGGTTTGCTGGGATGTGTTTCCCTGCTAAACTCTCTTCGGGGAAAACCAGTGCAGGTTGATGGGAATACCCTGTTTTGAGAGAAACGCAACGGAGCAGGCCTGGAGCAGAGCCGCGGGGCTCGGGGCACAGCAGTGCCTCGGCCACGTCCGCACCTCGGCCCCAGGAGGCAGCGCGGGGCTCGGCCAACGGCCCGGCCGGGGGGAACCGCAGCTGCGGGCTGTGCAGAAATCCGCGAAACGAGTGCTTAACCCGGGGGGATTTCTCCTAATGGCGAAATCAGAGAGAGAGAGTTTTCAGGGAAGAGGACGGCCCAATACAAGTTCCTCGAGTGGAATTTACATTTCGCCGCGATTTATGGTTTATAACGGATGGACACGTGCGCACGGGGCGCGTTCCGCCGCGGCGGAGGGGAGGGCCTCACAGCCCGGGCGGCTCCGGCGGCGGCAGGGAGAGGGGCCCTAGGGCAGGGCCCGAGTTGGGCCAGCGACCGCGACTCCTTTTCCCCGCGGCCCGGGCTGCTCGCTGCCACCGAGGCCGCGCTGAAGGCGCCGCGGCCGGGCCGCCCCGACCCTTCCGAGCCCCTCGGCCGGGCCGGGGCACGGCGGCCGCTAACAAAGGCGGAGCGGCCCCTCCACGTGTGCGCGGCCCCTCCGGCCCTCCGCGCTGCGGTGCCGGGCCCTCTCCCCGCTCCGGGCCGCATTAGTGGAGCGGCCATTTACTGCCCCCGGATTGCAGCAGCGCCCAGGTTAGCTCATAAAGCCATTCACACTCAACAATGGGGATTTTCTCAACAATTAACAAGAAACAACATAATAAAGCCATTTACAAAGCCCGCGCTATTTACGATAAATTAGCCGCTCTTTAAGAGAGCGGTGCGTAATTTCACACGCTTTACAGCCGGGCTGCAGCACGCAGCGGACGGCCCTGTTGCGCTCCGCGCGGAGCCTCTCCCGGTCCCCCTCCCGGGCCGACCCCGGAGCCGTTCCTGGGACCCGCGGCCTCTCCCAGCCGCGCACAAAGCGGGGGGCGGCAGCTCCGTGCAGACGGCCGCGGCGGCCGCGGGGCCGGCGGGGGGCGTGGGCCGGGAGGCGCTCTGCGGCGCGGCGGCCCCCGGGGGCCGCGCGGAGCGGCTCGTGGAGCAGCGCGGGGCCGGCGGAGTGGCGCCGGGCAAGATGGCGGCCCGAGGCGCGCCGTGCCCCGCGATGGGGCCGCCCCGAGAAGCGGCCCAGCGCCGCCCGCGGCCTGCGGGAGCCCGGCACCGCCCGGGCCGGCCCCGGGGCCGCTTCCTCCCTGCCCCGCGCCGCGCCTTCTCCCTCGTTCGGCGTTCCTGTGGCCGGCGAGACGAGGCAGCGCCGCGAGGAGCGGCTCCCGCCGAAGTGCCGCTGTTTACAAACACAGCTGTTGCGGTGTATTTGCAATGCTAAGGACGGAGCGGCGAACGAGGGCCGCTGCGGAAGAGGAGTCCCCGGCACGGGGAGGGCCGGGCGCTGTCCGGGGCCGTCAGCTCTCCCGGCCGCTATTGTGAGCGCCTCGTGCGAAACATCGCGGGCCTTCGGCGCGGGGCTCGCGGGGCTGCCCGGCAGTGAAAGGAGCGCGGGGAGAGGCCGGGCCGCGGCGCAGCGTTGTACCGTGAAGCGGCCGGGCGCGGGGAAGGCCCGGCCCGCGGCCCCGAGCCGCGGCCGCCCGCTCGCAGCTGGCTGGATGGGGAATGGCGGAGGCTGCGGAGCGCGGCTCTTGCTCGGTGGGCCCCGGTCGCTATTTCCTCTCCGTGGTCGCCCTTCTTTTGTACTTCGGAGCCGAACCCGGGGACGAGGCATTGCGTATTCTTTCACGTCGCCATCGCACCCGGGAAAACCACGGTTATGTGCAGCTGCCTCCCCACACCGAGCGTTTCCCCGCGCATCTCCCCGTGTAGAAAACATGCACTTTTTCTGCACCTCTTCCTTAACCGCTCATACGTGCTAACAGCGACAGACTAAACGTGGTAGCGTCGTTCTCATTTCTGCAGAACGCGTAATTTTATTAGCAACTAAATGTGGTGAAGGGAAAAGGATCCTTGCGAAAAAAAAAAAGCACCGAGGGAAGAACAGCCAAGTTCACACCACAACACCGCCGCTCGTATCACAGCGCATACAGCAGTGAAGGGAAGACCCACTGCAGGCAGTGCACGCTGCAACACGAGGTGGTACGGCAGCATCCCCGCCGCCGGGGCTCGGCACGTGTTCCCTTCTCGGTGCTCGGCAGCGCTCAGCGCGGTCCCAAACTGCCTTTTGTCCTCGGCTTGGCCGCAGGCGTCTCCCCCACGAGCAGGGCAGGGAGCTGGGCCTGCTGTGTACCTGGGAGGAGCACGCGCGCTGCGCCACGTCGCTTTTCCTTTATGGTGTTCTGTGGGGTTTTGTGCACCCGGAGTGGGAAAATGGTGGCATTTCATCATTGAGACGTTTTAAATTTTCTCTGCCGTGAACATCATGACAAAACTGTGGCCCGACCCATGAGATCACCTTCGTTTTTCCTCAAGTTATATTCAGGCAGAAACAGGTTATTGGTGCACAACGCAACGTATTTGTTTGACTTTGTATTAGTGAGGCTGGAATGGGAGCGAGCTCTATCTCAGCACCAGTTACAGTGCCATCTCCAACAGCCGTCCGACCACCCGAACTGGGAGGAATGCCGTATTTTGCATCACAGTGCGTTACGTACCTGGTGACACTCCCGGCACAGTGACACCACGGGGCCCCATGAGCAGCACCAAGTGCACACGTGTGGCAATAGGGATGTGTGACTCGGTGCCTCCTGCTGCACCCTGGCCAGGCGCCATACGTCCCCGGCCCTGCAGGGCCTGTTTGGGATCAGTGAGTGTCTCTCTCCCCTCCCCCTCTCCCCCCCGGATTATTTCAGGAACCCAAAAAGGCACCTCTGCAATTTACAATTCCCAGCCACATCAGCACAGCGTAATTGGAAGTAAACAGGGTCAGGGGACAGAGCTCCTCTGAAAGTGATACGTTGTTTAATTGACACGGCAAAATTTTAGGCTTCCAGTTTGCATATTACATCTCCGCCGCTTTTCAATTTGATTTTTTTTAATTTTTATTTATTTATTTATTTATTTATTTTTTAGGCGCAGGAATACCTGTATCAGGCAGAGCAGAGCTGGGGCTTCCACGGGCGGTGCGCTTTGACCATACTCTCTGGGAATAGGACCACGGTCTGCTCGGCCTCAAATGCACGCGGGTAAACACTCAGCCCCCAGCCACCCTGCGAGCTGATTTTTCACGACCATCGTAATTTCAGCAGCGCGGTTAAGAGTGCAGAGTACCTTTTGCAATTGGCAGCTCTAAGGGATGCGAGCGTGCGGGGGAAGGGTAACCCCGCTGAAGGGCGATTGTTTACTCTCTCTAACTGTATTTGGTGCAGGTATTCCTAGAGCGGAGCTTTACAATGGGGGAAAAGGAGGGCGCGAAGATAGCGCGGAGCTGCGGGCGGTGGCGTGCTCAGAGCCACGAGGGCTGCGGGGGGCACCACAAAGGCAGGGATGAAACAGCCGAGAGCGGCAGCGGATCGCCGGCAGAATGTTGACTTTGAGTCACACGGTAAACATCACGTTGTGGCTTTGTTTTCCTTTTTTTTTTTTTTTTTTTTTTTTTCTTCTCCTTTTCTTTGATTTACAATAAATTATCCTCCCGAGATTGATCGATGAGTGGAATCCTTAACATTTAATTTAGGAATGATCTAGTATAAATAAAGCACCAATCCAAAGAAAGAAACCAGCAGTCCTTCAGCCGAAACCCCGCTGATTCAGCACTCGGCCTTCCCGGGGCCGCAAACTTTTGGGCCGCTCTCGGAGCTTCGCCTGTCCCCCCGCACCGGGGCCCTTCTGCAGCCCTCGGCCCCAGGCCCTGCTGCTGCGCGGCGGCCTTCCTTTCTTTTTTTCTTTTTTCTTTTTTTTTTTTTTTTTTCCTTTCTTTTGGAGGGGCTTTGGTGGCAGGGAGGGAAACAGTGAACCTCTTGAAGCGTATTTCCTCGGAATCCAACCGGGAATCTCCCAAAAGGAGGGGAAAGCGAGGATAAATTGCAATAATTCAAAGTGTAGGGAATCAGGAATTTTTAAACAGTGTTTTTAATTGAAAATAAAGCTAAAGCATGCTTTTCAACAGTGCAAATTTCCATCATTTTGATTTACCTCTTCCATCATCACAATATATTACACCGGCATGTCTCTCCGAGGCGAGGCCCTCGCCCCCGCCCGCTCCACTATTTCGATATTAAGTGCAAATAGAGATAATCGCCTCTGATTGTCACGTGCGGTAGAAACGTTTCTGCTACATAGAGAGGACGGCCTGGAAACAAAAACCGACAGCGCCGGGGTTCGGGGCTGAGGACAACGAAGCGGCAGCGCCCGAGTTCAGGGCCGCAGAGCCACGAGCAGCGCGGGGCTCGCGTTTGTTGCGCTGTTCCCACTCCTGGCCCCTCGCTCCGCTCTCTCTGCGCCGCATTTACTGCTTCGCTATTTCCTGCGGCCCGCGCGGGGTTGCCCATAAATCGCCGCGGGCCGGGCAGGGCTCCGAGCGCCGTGCAAGTTTGCAGGGGCGCGTTCAGAGCGCAGCTTCGGCACGACGTGAGCGGGTAACAGTAACCTTATTTAAGACCTCTGAGTGAAACAAAAAGGCTTCCGATCGCAACGAGGGGCTGTACGAGCGAAAGGACGCCCTTTGCCCGCGCTGCGATCCCCCGTTTCGTGCTGCTCTCTGCCCCCGCCTTCCCCAGGGGCTGAGCGCAGCGCTGTGGGCCCGGGGCACCGCACCGCACCGCTCCGAGCGCCGAGGTGCGGCCAGCCCTCCTGTGCGGCCGTGGCACTTCACAAACTTGAACTGAATTAACAGTTAGACTGCCATGTTCGAAATCTAGTGCATAAATTTAATGGCTCATTCTAGTATTTATTATTCAACCTTTTGACATTTATTTGCAGCAGTTGAATTGAGGTACTGGTGCATTATTAGCATTCAAACAGTAAAGTGTTCCAGCTCTACCGGCGTAACTGAGTTAAGTTGAGTCTTTGCCTGAAGTACTCTGTGGAATGTAACAAAAAACACCCAAACGTAACAGGGAAAAAAAAAGGAAAAGAAAAGAAAAACAACAACAACAAAAAAAGATCCAAACAAACCAAACCAAAACCACTGTTGGAACAAGGGAAGAAAATGGTAATCCGGGTTCTGTCTTCACAAACGACACGACGGATCCCAGCAGCGAGCGTTGCGCGGCGTTAAGGGCCGCACGAACCTTCCTGCCGAGCTCACGCAGCGCACAGCCCGAGAGGTGGTTCCAGCAAATATTTTCCAAAGTATTTTATTAATTAAATTTCCTGAATTTGTGGCTAGGTGGGAGAGGTAT